ACACAGTTGGCAACGGGCTTTGTTGCAAGGATAGGTTCCTTGGTTCGTGGTTCTGTTGTGTGGGGTGTGGTTGTTGGTGTGTATTTGCTTCAGGTTGGGGGGCTGTCTGTAAGCAAGGACTGGCCTGTCTCCCAAGATCTGTGAGAGTGATGGGTCGTCCTTCAGGATCGGTTGTAGATCCTTGATGATGCATTGGAGAGGTTTTAGTTGGGGGCTGAAGGTGATGGCTAGTGGCATTCTGTTATTTACTTTGTTGGGCCTGTCCTGTAGTAGGTGACTTCTGGGTACTCTTCTGGCTCTGTCAATCTGTTTCTTCACTTCAGCAGGTGGGTTTTCTAGTTGTAAGAATGCTTGATAGAGATCTTGCAGGTGTTTGTCTCTGTCTGAGGGGTTGGAGCAAATGCAGTTGTATCGTAGAGCTTGGCTGTAGACAATGGATTGTGTGGTGTGGTCTGGATGAAAGCTGTAGGCATGTAGGTAGGAATAGTGGTCAGTAGGTTTCCAGTATAGAGTGGTGTTTATGTGACCATTGCTTATTAGCACCATAGTGTCCAGGAAGTGGATCTCTTGTGTGGACTGGTCCAGGCTGAGGCTGATGGTGGGATGGAAATTGTTGAAATCATGGTGGAATTCCTCAAGGGCTTCTTTTCCATGGGTGCAGATGATGAAGATGTCATCAGTGTAGCGCAAGTAGAGTAGGGGCATTAGGGGACGAGAGCTGAGGAAGCGTTGTTTTAAGTGAGCCATAAAAATGTTGGCATACTGTGGGGCCATGCGGGAACCCATAGCAGTGCTGTTGATTTGAAGGTATACATTGTCCCCAAATGTGAAATAGTTATGGGTGAGGACAAAGTCACAAAATTCAGCCACCAGGTTAGCCGTGACATTATCGGGGATAGTGTTCTTGACAGCTTGTAGTCCATCTTTGTGGGGAATGTTGGTGTAGAGGGCTTCTACATCCATAGTGGCCAGGATGGTGTTTTCAGGAAGATCACCGATGGATTGTAGTTTCCTCAGGAAGTCAGTGGAGTCTCGAAGATAGCTGGGAGTGCTGGTAGCATAGGGCCTGAGGAGGGAGTCTACATAGCCAGACAATCCTGCTGTCAGGGTGCCAATGCCTGAGATGATTGGGTGCCCAGGATTTCCAGGTTTATGGATCTTGGGTAGCAGATAGAATACCCCAGGTCGGGGTTCCAGGGGTGTGCCTGTGCGGATTTGTTCTTATGCTTTTTCAGGGAGTTTCTTGAGCAAATGCTGTAGTTTCTTTTGGTAACGCTCCGTGGGATCAGAGGGTAATGGCTTGTAGAAAGTGGTGTTGGAGAGCTGCCGAGCAGCCTTTTGTTCATATTCCGACCTATTCATGATGACGACAGCACCTCCGTTGTCAGCGTCTTTGATTATGATGTCAGAGTTGTTTCTGAGGCTGTGGATGGCATTGTGTTCTGCATGGCTGAGGTTATGGAAAAGAAGCCCTTGAGGAATTCCACCATGATTTCAACAATTTCCATCCCACCATCAACCTCAGCCTGGACCAGTCCACACAAGAGATCCACTTCCTGGACACTATGGTGCTAATAAGCAATGGTCACATAAACACCACCCTATACCGGAAACCTACTGATCGCTATTCCTACCTACATGCCTCCAGCTTTCATCCAGACCATACCACACAATCCATTGTCTACAGCCAAGCTCTACGATACAACTGCATTTGCTCCAACCCCTTAGACAGAGACAAACACCTGCAAGATCTCTATCAAGCATTCTTACAACTAGAAAACCCACCTGCTGAAGTGAAGAAACAGATTGACAGAGCCAGAAGAGTACCCAGAAGTCACCTACTACAGGACAGGCCCAACAAAGAAAATAAGAGAACGCCACTAGCCATCACCTTCAGCCCCCAACTAAAACCTCTCCAATGCATCATCAAGGATCTACAACCGATCCTGAAGGACGACCCATCACTCTCACAGATCTTGGGAGACAGGCCAGTCCTTGCTTACAGACAGCCCCCCAACCTGAAGCAAATACACACCAACAACCACACCCCACACAACAGAACCACGAACCAAGGAACCTATCCTTGCAACAAAGCCCGTTGCCAACTGTGTCCACATATCTATTCAGGGGACACCATCATAGGGCCTAATCACATCAGCCACACTATCAGAGGCTTGTTCACCTGCACTTCTACCAATGTGATATATGCCATCATGAGCCAGCAATGCCCCTCTGCCATGTACATTGGTCAAACTGGACAGTCTTTACGTAAAAGAATAAATGAACACAAATCAGACTTCAAGAATTATAACATTCAAAAAGCAGTTGGAGAACACTTCAATCTCTCTGGTCACTTGATTACAGACCTAAAAGTTGCAATTCTTCAACAAAAAAACTTCAAAAACAGATTCCAACGAGAGACTGCTGAATTGGAATTAATTTGCAAACTGGGTACAATTAACTTAGGCTTGAATAGAGGCTGGGAGTGGATGGGTCATTACACAAAGTAAAACTATTTCCCCATGTTTATTTCCCCACCCCCCACCCCTCACTGTTCCTCAGACGTTCTTGTCAACTGCTGGAAATGGCCCACCTTGATTATCACTGCAAAAGGTCCCCCCCCCCCCCCGGCCCTCCTGCTGGTAATAGCTCACCTTAAGTGATCATTCTGGTTACAGTGTGTATGGTAACACCCATTGTTTCATGTTCTCGGTGTATATAAATCTCCCCACTGTATTTTCCACTGCATGCATCCGATGAAGTGAGCTGTAGCTCACGAAAGCTTTTACTCAAATAAATGTGTTAGTCTCTAAGATGCCTCAAGTTCTCCTTTTCTTTTTTCAAAGAGACTGATGTTCACAAAAAGATCTAAGAAACATACTAGCTGTGGTCAGTGCACGAGGTGGTTTCCATTTGACATTTTCTGGGGTTTCAGCATTTATGAACATGAGCTCTCAGTGTGATGCTGTTGCAAAAAGGGCTAATGGGATTTTTGGATGCATAAAGAAGGGAGTAATGCATAGAAGCAGGGAGGTGATTCTACCTCCGTGTACGGCAATGGTGAGACTGATACTGGAATACGGCATCCAGTGCTCATGTCCATATTTCTAAAAGGATGTTGAAAAATTGGAGAGGGTGCAGAGAAGAGCAACATAAAATTATTCAAGGTCTGAAAAACCTGCCTTACAGTGAGAGACGTAAGGAGCTCAATCTATTTAGCTTATCAAAGAGGCAACTTGAACTCAAACTATAACTACCTTTTTTGTAGCAGACAAAGGTTTAACAAGACCCAGTGGCTGGAAGCTCAAGTGAGAAAAATTCAAACTGGACATAAAATGCAATTTTTAAACAGTGGAACAATTTATCAAAGGATGTGGTAAATTTCCCGTCACTTAGGCATTTTAAATGAAGACTGGTTATCTTTCCAAAAGACTCGTACTAGCTCAACCACAAGTTATTGGACTTGTTGTAGAATCACTGAGACCCTCAATGGCCTGTGTAATACAGGAGGTCAGACTAGATGATCACAATGGTGCCTTCTGGCCTTAAAATATATGAAACGGACGTACAGCACACACACACACACACGCATACACACACACATACATCTGGCTGGGAGCTGCCATCTCATTGTCCTGCACTTTGGTCTGATGATAAAATTCCCCTCCTTGGAGGGTGTTTGGGGACGACGACAACAGGTGGCTGGTAACAGGGAGAACCACTGCTCCCCCTCCCCCCACAACTACACACATGCTGCCCTTACTGCCCACTGCAGTATGGAAAAGAGTTCAGGTGTACATCATGAGTGAGGGGGAAGTCAATGTCAGGGTCTTGTAAAGGGCTCATCTTGGGACCTCCCAGTGTATCTGGGTTTTACTAGACATCTTGGTCAACATGGGTTGAGTGTGTAACTCTTCCTCCCTCTCTGACTATGCCTTCATCTTTTGCTTTCTTTCTTTCTTTCTTTTCCCCCATGTCCCTGGGTGTCCCTAACCCTCCAGTTGGCAGAAGCTGAGAGTGGACGGCAGGGGATAGATCACTTGATGATTGCCCTGTTCTGTTCATTCCCTCTGAAGCATCTGGCACGGGTCACCATCAGAGACAGGATACTGGTCTAGGTGGACCATTGGTTCGACCCAATATGGCGCTTCTTTCTTTCTTTCTTTCTTTCTTTCTTTCTTTCTTTCTTTCTTTCTTTCTTTCTTTCTTTCTTTCTTTCTACCTACAGTTTTGCATAACCAAATCTCTCAGGCCATCTCTTAGTGACCCACAATCCCATCCAACCTAATTCTGAATCTATGTGGATACTGTTAGATCAAAAGTTCATGCTACATTGAGGAGAGACAGAAAAGGGAGCAGAGGAACAGCAGAAACCTCGGGTGAAGAAAGGAGTCAAAAGAGGGAGAGGTATTGTACTACTGTGGGAGCTGTCTTAGGAAAACCAGAAAAATAAAATAAACTCGATAGCTATATATGAAGAAAGTTCTAGAAACATACATGGAGAAAAGAGAGATGGATCCAGTGAAAAAACAGGGTGAAAACCAAAGCAAAGACATGTACAAATACGGAGGGTAAAGAACGGAAAGGGAAAGAGAAAACTTCTAATGAACGAATGCCTCCATTGTCGACACTGGCTGCAGTAACACCCTGCTTTGTGCCAGCCGAGCTCTGGGGCAGCTCCTGTGCCACTACCCCAGAGCCTGAGCAGTTTTTTGGGGGAGAAAATATTTTTTGCTAAAAATAAATGTCTCACCTTTGGCGAGCAGGGCAAAGACGGGTGTCAGCAACAGTTCAGTTCCAAACGCTTTTGCCAGCTTAGAAAATAGCCCATAAGAGTGGCAAAAGCAGCACTTGTCCCTGGCCAGTACTGCATGCTCTTTGGGACAGAATTTTATGAATAAAATGGGTCAAAAAATAAGAAAAGTACAAAAAATAGATGTCCTTGTTCTGGTCACATTGAAAGAAAGAATGATCAATATTTAGTAAAATATTTTCCTTACCTCTTTTTCTCTCTCTCTCTGTCTGCCTCTCTCGTGCGCTGTGTTCGTCACCAGCTGTACATGATCTAAGAGAAACAACAACTGACACAGCAGAGAAAAATGATGATTTTCAGAAAGCTGCTCAGATGTTGGCCTTTCTGTCTCCTCTTCTCATACAACAGTCCCAACAAGGGCTTGATGACAGTTCATGTTCTGCTCAGGGTCCATGCACCGCCTTCTTATTTGACTGGTGGTTTCCCATAAGCATTTGAACACAATTCTTGGTCTCGAGGGAAACGCTGACTATAGAAGAGGGTTATTTAGTACGGTGCTTGTCTTAGGGGAAGTGCCTATGCAAAGCTGCGAGGGCCTACTGGCTGTATGCGCATGTATAGGATGCCATGACTGGGCAGGGGCTTGGAAAGGTCAGTGAGTGGAAACCTGCATGGTTTCAGGGTGCGTGTGCATTTATGGTGTTGTGTGGCAGCAGGCCCAGGGGATTCTCTGTGGGTTTGTATATTTGGAATATGTCAAGGTTAAGTCGGAGTTAATAATCACAACCTCTGTTCCTGACCTCTACAAACCTTGTGTCCTCCCCCCTCCCCGCCCCAAGAGTGAGTACAGCCTGGGCAGTGGCAGAGCAAGCTTTCTGCAGCAATTCCCCCATGAACTGTCCCCTGCCAATGTGCCCCCACCCAGACACAGGAAACCCTAAGGGCTGAGGACATTCCATGGCCCATTCATAAGGCTACAAGTTGGTCACAGAGGTCACAGATTCTGTGATTTATGAGGCCTCTGTGACGTCAGCTCCATGCAGCAGGGATCGAGCTGTCAATTTCATGCGGTGGGGATTGAGCTGTCAGCTCTGGCCGGCGGGGCTCGGGCTTCAGCCCTGGGCAGCGGGGATTGGACTTCCATGATTTAATGTTTATTGCCCATGTCCTGCCCATGACTTTTACTAAAAATACCTTTGACAAAATCTTAGCCTCCTTGGCTTCACTTGTGATGCCGCTAAAGAGGAAACCAATTACTGCCCATTCTGCTGGTAGGCACAGTTGCTGTCCTACCAGCTAGGAACTGGGCTGAGAAACCACAAACTCATTTCACATAGGTACTGAACAACTGTCAGATGGAAATGATTTTTGGTCATTAGGCCTAAAGGTTTGGGATTAGGGGTGAGCAGGCAGAAGAGGATCCTGAGCGGGAGGAGAGGTAAATCTCTAGGGGGACACGACTGGGATTAGGGGTGAGCAGGGAGAAGAAGGGTACACTGCATGTAGCAATGCCCTCAGGATGCTAAGGTAGATAAGAGTCTCTGCTGCTGCTGTATTTCAGCAATTTCCCTTCCAGGGCGAAGGGGGGCTTTTGTGGTTTCCAACCCGCACTGTTGTTGGTCTCTTTCTCTGAATCTCAGCCTCAGCCAACAGAGCGGAAACCCACTGAGCCCCCAGACATAGCTGAGATTTCATCTCTCTGCCACCCACTCCGTCTCCTCCACACAACCACTTGTCCCTCATCTCAGGGGGCGACAGAGTCAGGTTTTGGGTGTTTCAGGAGGAGCGGGGATAGCAAGTTACAGTGATGACGTTCGTCATGTCACCCACAGCATATCGCAGAGATGTCTGAAATACAGTGTGTGGCATGCCACTGCCAGGCTGAGGCACTGGGGACAGTACTGAGAGGAAAGGAGGACTTGTAGCACCTTAGAGACTAACCAATTTATTTGAGCATAAGCTTCCATGACCTACAGCTCACTTCATTGGATGCATTTTCCACAGAATGCATCCGATGAAGTGAGCTGTAGCTCATGGAAGCTTATGCTCAAATAAATTGGTTAGTCTCTAAGGTGCCACAAGTCCTCCTTTTCTTTTTGTGAATACAGACTAACACGGCTGCTACTCTGAGTACTGAGAGGATCCAGTATGCAGCAGCTCATCTGCTCACTAATACAAATTTCTGGACAAAAAAAGCTGTTCACAAACAGGGAAAGAGTTGTATGCACAGGAGACAGAACAGTCACAGCAGCTGGATCAGGCCTGTGGAACTCTCTGTCGGATGAAACAAGATACCTTCTCCCCTCCCCCACGCAGTGTATGTGGTGGGTTGTGAGGTGGCGGACTGACCTAGACAGATCAAAAGGGAAGAGACCGCTGCTGAGTCACCCACACCACTCCCAGCAGCACAGCATCCTCGAGCTCTGTGCAGGGGCATTGAGGTCAGTGACCTCGGGATACTGTGGTGAGGTGATCAGTAGGGAGCTCTTCCTCATCTATTCATTTGACAGGGTTTTCCTATGTAGCCCAGTGGGCCAGCTTACCTGTCTTATATTCATTGCTTTGTTATTCTGCTTTATTATATTTAGTAGTAATGCAAGGAACCTACAGGCTTTTATCCTGTAAGATTTGGCTTTAGTAGATAGTGTGAGGCTTGAGGCCTATAACCTTGGGTATAGATAAACTTAAGTAATTCAGAAGTTATGGGGAACTGAAAGTGGCATGCCAGAAGGGGAATTTTGTCCAGAATACCGACATCAGCCACCCACAGGACATAGCTGACACTAGCACAAAACATGGCTGACACCAGCATCCGGAAGGTTCTGGACAGAACATCCGACTGCAAAGGTACCACGACAGCAAATTGACATGTATGCTAATAGGGTAACATCATACATATACTAACCTATAGAAAACAGACACCTTAAGGGGAGGAAATATAAATAAGGACCTCTATGGAATATGCATTGGACATGGCAGCATCAGCGTAACCTACTATAAAAGTAACATCCCAGGGGCAGCAGTTAGGTTGGAGAGATGTAGACCTTGGGAGAGGCCAGAATGATGGCTACCGGGGAAGATGAGGACTATGACGGTGATGAGAAAGATAATGGTTAAGTATGAAAGATAAGGGTTGTGGAAGTATAACATTGTATAAGTATAATGTTGTATAAGGGGACATGCTGGATACATTGTATATGAGAGGGCATGCCAAAACATGTTACAAAGTATCTGAGGGAGCACATGTAGGGACAGTTAGCTTTTGAATGGAGAAGCAATTAAGATAGAGCCAGCACGTCTAAGAAGCAGGCATCAGAATGGAAGGTGTGAAGGGCAATTAGTTAACTGGAAGCTGTTAAAGGAGATTGTTAAGGGTGGCAGGTAATTGAAGATATGTGACTGGTCTCAGGGATCTCGAAGGGTGGTGACTAAAATCTTTTTCTTCTTTTGTCTGTAACTTCTCTGTATCTTGTTTTCCAAAAACTGTATAAATTAAGAGACACAAGCCCCACTCGGGGGGCTCACTTCTAAATGTATTAGCAGAGCAGCTTTGCTAATAAAACAGAGTGGGCTGATAAATTGTGAGTCTGAGTCAAACTTTGACAGGGTGTAAGTATGGCCGTCCAAATGTAATTTCTGTATTATCTCTATATGCCTTGTTGAGTTTAAGTGTGTGTATAACTTTGCTAAATTATTAATAAATCATATATTTATATATAGAGAGAGTTCCTATAGTGTGAGTGTTGCACCTGTGCACATCAGGGTTTCCAAATTATATAATAATTTTACAATAATCTTACTCTGCCTGATCTTGGGACAAAAACCTCTTAATCCTTAAGTTACAATTATATATACCCAACTTTGGGTGAGGCTACACCTAGGAAGTCTCCTATCCAGATACTGACCAGACCCTATTCAGCTCATGAGAACCCATGGGACTGGGCTTACAGCCCAGGGTGGACTTTCATCTGAGCATCTCAAAGCTATTTACAAACATTGATTAAACATCAGAAACAGAGCTAGGTGAATAATATTAGTCAAAAGTCTGATGAATTTCACATTTTTCTCATAAATTATTAAACTTTTTTTAATGTCATGCAAAATTGCTCCCAACTGTCTTGAGAGTATTTGCCATATATGGGGAAACTGAGGCATAGACAGGGCAAGTGATTCATCTGAGGTCATATGATGAGTCAATAGCAGAGTGAGGAACAAAACCCAAGAGTCCTGATTACAAGTCCCCCTGGCTCTAGCCAACTACTGCCTAAGCCCCACTCCCCTCCCAGAGGTAGGTATGGAACCTGGGAGTCCTGGCTCCTAGTCAGTGCTGCATTAACCCCTTGACCCCAGCCCTCCTTCTTCTAAACCAGTCAACAATTGTGTTTTTGAAAGGTACATTTCTGAGTAGCAAATTCCTAAACACTTTAGTGGAGAGAGAGGATTGTTCATGGACTTTAATGGGGAGACAGAATGCTCCTAGAGTTCATTGGAGATTGGAGGAATGACCTAGTTCTTTAATGGCAAGAGAAGAACCTATTTGCCCATAGATTTAACTGGGAACTGAATGAATGCCCAGAGATATAATGGAGACTAGGGGGATGCTCACAAGCCATAATGAGGAGGAAGAAAACCCAGTCAACTGTGGTAGCTCAAAAATTACACCTTTGAGCAGCAAAATGTCAACAACTTCAAAGACCAGAAGATTTCTCTTTGCGGTAGAATAGCTGACACCTGTTGTAGCTCTTGGAGGGGCGTTTCAGCTGCCAGACACAGACAAACAAGTTTTTAAAGTGCTTGCACACAAATGCTAGAGGTCTAAATAATAAAATGGGTGAACTAGAGTGCCTCGTGTTAAAGGAGGATATTGACATAATAGGCAACACAGAAACCTGGTGGAGTAAGGACAATCAATGGGACACAATCTTTCCGGGGTACAAAATATATTGGAAGGACAGAACAGGGCGTGGGGGGGGGGGGGAAGGGAAGAAGAGGCACTATATGTGAAAAAAAATGTAGACTCGAATGAAATAAAAATCTTAAATGAATCCACATGTTCCATAGAATCTCTATGGATAGTAATTCCATGCTCTAATAAGAATATAACAGTAGGGATCTATTATCAACCACATGACCAGGACAGCGATAGTGATGATGAAATGCTAAGGGAGATTAGAGAGGCTATCAAAATAAAAAACTCAATAATAGTGGGGGATTTCAATTATCCCCATATTGACTGGGTATATGTCACCTCAGGACGAAATGCAGAGACAAAATTTTTTGATACTTTAAATGACTGCTTCTTGGAGCAGCTGGTACAGTAACCTACAAGGGGAGAGGCAACTCTCGATCTAGTCCTGAGTGGAGCGCAGGATCTGGTCCAAGAGGTAACTATAACAG